ATCAATTACATTAAACCCATCATTTCATTCCCTTCCCCCTTCTCTACCATGTGTCTGCTCCTCTTCCTCCTCCTCCTCTGTTCTCTCTCGCTCTTCCTCTTTGCCCTCGTCTGCACTCTGATGATCATCCCTGAACTCCAGCCTGGCAGATGGGTGGGAACACAGCTCCCAGCATCAAGCTGAACCAAGCCACTGAGGGGTTAACTTCAAGCAACGTCAGCTGTGCACCTAGTGCTCGGCTGTCCCACATTCACCTCCTCTCTATCTCTTTGAGATTCTCTGTATTCTGCCCGCTGCTTGTCATAGAACAGTGATATATATATATATATATATAGTCTAGCCATGTGATTGTGTGTGTGTGCGTTTGTAAGTTCAGGTATAGGCTTCCAGGCAGTGCAGGCAGTCCTGATGTGAAGTGACATGTTAAGAGAGCAAGTCTTTGGACACAGGCTGAGAGAGGGAAGAGAGAATAAATAAAAACAGACATCACCTTTATAAAAAAAAAAAACCTACAGCACCACTGCATCAAGGCAGCAGATGGCATCTAACTGCCCCAGCACCCCTTTACTTAAGGTATCTCTCGATTGTTCTATAATCATGCAGCATTTTGTATTCAATATGCAAACAGACGATGAATACAGATATATTAACTCGGGAGAACAGAACTGAGACAAGCTAAGCCTAGGAGACATCGCCTTGTCTCATGCTATGAAAGAGAAGCTCTACTTCTGACTATTTGCTTCAGTCGTCAGGATCGGGCCAATTCACCTGTCTGCTTCGCTTACGTTTACGCATCCCTCTGCTGCCTCACCTGACCCGTTTCATCTCGCTTTCACTGATGGTGATGCAGCATAGCGCTTGAACCTAAAAAAAAGAGTAAAATAACAGTATCTAACTTTAGCCTTACAGTGGCAGGGCAAAGACACAGAACCCTTTAGCTGGCAGGGATTCAGTGTCTTGCTCCTGAACAATGCAGTGATGTACGCAGCAGAAGGAGAGTTTGGCCCCAGGGTCGTCTGGTTGGAGGACGGTCTCACAGCTCAGTGCTCGGTACAGCAACCAAGATTAGAAAGTGCAGCATTGTTCCGAGCATCATTCACAGGTCAGTGTACTGAAGATATATATATATATAACCAATATTTGAACTATTTAACACAAATTTGCACCCTTTATAGTTTAAAACGACCTTATCATAGTGTGGATCACAGCATGAGAAAACATATACGCACACATTTTTTTGGGATATAACTTAAATGAATGTTTGACCTTAAATATAAATGCTATAGGATACAGTCAGGAATTATATTCAAAAGAATTACAAACATAAGTCAAACAAGATTCTTTGCCCACTGACTGCAGGAAGAAATTTAAAGGTGCAAATTAATTTCTTATCTTAAAAGTACCAGACTGTAGTGCTAAAAAGGCAGAAAGGTGATTGTCGAGAACGCACTGTGTGATAGCAGTAGTACACCGGAATGATCTAAATCACTAGTAAAAGTGTGTTCATTAGAATATGTCCACACTTAAAATGCAAAATAGGATCTCACAATGACACAGCATTTTAAGAAAAACTTGCCCATTTCCAGCACACTAACTACACGACAAGTGCTCGAGATGACTGCGTAATTATGAGGCCCTAACTGACTGCTTTTTGAGACAGATGTTGTGTTCATGAATCACGAAGCAGGTCAGATACCCAAACTGACTGCAAAATGAGACAAGAGGTCTCTTAGCCACAGTCAAGGTTCTCTGCTCTGACAAGAGAGCAGATGGCTGTTGGTGGGAATAACAAACCAGATCAGAGAGAGAGAAAGAGAGAGAGAGAGAGGACGCTGCAAATTCTCCACTCCAGCTCATCCTCCTACGCAGATTGCCTTTTCATGTTGTCTCTTGAAAACTGTTTTGATTAAAACAAAAAGAACATTTTTTTTTTCTAAATCACCTTGCAACGGTGCATTTCAAGCATTTGGTTGCACAATGCACATGTTCTGTACATGCCAAAATACTCCCTGCCTCCCTGAGCCGTGCTGAGCCTTACGTAGAAGTGACACTCCAGAATTGGGGCGAATTATAGAACGACTGGGTGAACTCAGTTATTCCCATAGCTGTGATGTGTTCGAGTGCATACGAGCGTGTTTCTGTGTGTTTTGGCCCCAGCTCAGCGTATTGGCAACCCATGAAAATAATTTCACTTTCATCTATGTAACTACATTAAACTAGTGCTGTGATTTTTTGGATTAAACTATATAAGATCCCTGATACAGGAAACATACAGCTTAGTGCAACTTCATGCAAAACAAAACAAACACAACTCACAGGACTGACAACCATCATTTCTGGCATGAGTTTTATACTTTTTAATGAGGTTAAACTGTCAAAGTAGTAAACACAGTGTTACCTTACAATGACAGCAGCTTTCTCCCTCAGCAAACACTCCAAAAACAATATCTACGTCATCTCCTTTGTTACTCCTCCAGGGTAAGAAAAAGTATGAGTACCACAGCTACCAAAACACTGTATGTCAATTCAGAAAGTAGGCTGAACATTCATTTCCATGTATGCCATAAAGCTGGACCTGAATCACAATGTAAAGCACCCTTGACGATTTCAAAAAGCATCAAAAGCTGAGCAGAAGTCCTTTCACTCCACTACGCCTCCTTATTACAGCTTGCAGGATGTGCTTCTCTCCAAACAGGCTTTTAATGTGAAAGGAAAGCAATACACTAAACGACTAGACATGCTGAGCTGCAAATCATCGTAAGAATAATGACCCCTGTGCAAATGTCTGATACAATAACTTTACTTTCTGTAGCCTCTCAGCCCATAGTATATTCCAAACAGATGGAGCACAGCCAAAAAAACATCCCCTGCTGATCAATACGCACATAACGGAGAGATTAGGATACATTGAATAACTTGTTTTGAAAGGAGATTGAGTTGAAGCAAAACAGATTGCAACCTTCACCCTGTTATTTGTAGAGGATATATATATATGCTTTTCCATTTTAAAAGAAGAATGTGGGACATTTTACACATAAATATAGCAAAAATCAAGTATATTGTATGCAAATGTCTCTCTGAGTCATGACTGTCTACAATGACTGAGAAGCATGAGTCCCGCTGGATGTGTTGTTGTCAGAGCTGTGTTTACATCATACACATGGACGGGACGGCCGACTCCTCCTCATGTCTATAAAATCTGTTTTAGTCAAGGACTGGAGAAACAAGAATAACATACTCACTGTTTGTCATAATGTCATGTAAGCGTTTTTAGATCACGGTCATTCTGTGTAAATGTACACGCAGTGTGAAGCTACAAGATAACTAAAGAGCAATCTACTGGATCAAAAAGTTGCACATTCTTCCTTTAATGAATTATAATGTTGTAAGTTGTGCCCATATGAATACCAAAAATGGCTTCATATCAAAGTGTAGTAACAGTAGGCTATATTATGGTTCCTGTACAAGTACAATAGATTCTCATTTTAAATTAAAGCAGCTGCTCTAGTGAGAACAAACTCTCTTTTGGCCAAAGTTGATCTCTGCAATAGTTTTTCTTGGAGTCACACCACAGACACGTGAAAAAATATTAACAATTAATTGGAAAGCATTAAGACATTATGCATTATGAAGACAAATAAACATGTGCATGGAAAAATGGTTATGGCCCTGTCACTGGGAAAGCAGCTGTTCGTCCTCAAGCAAAAACTCCCATTCCTGCACCATTTGAATGGAATCCAGCCAGCTTTTGATTAAACTAATGGATGAATTATGCACATCCCCCAGCTTACAATTATGTAAAAAAAAAAAAAAAAGGCTACAATTGTCTAGTCACTAGCGTTTATTTCAACAATTTTATGTGGAGGATCAGTGTGTAATTTGAGACATGCAAAGTGATCGATGCGAATATGTTCCATCAGGTGATTTGTACTGCTTAATGTCTTATCTCTCCCTCCAATCTAACTAAAATAAATTGCTTCAAAGTATAATTGTATTCCATAAATCAGATCTTTTCAATAAGATTTATTCTAGAGTCCCTCCAACAGGCAGCTTCACAGCGAAGATTTGGATTAGTGGTTCTAAACTGTACTGAAAGTCCTGGTACAATCTAAACACCCTCAGGAAGAGTTAAAATAAGCAGTTAAGATATTACAACCATCAGACATTCAACATTCCTTCTTAAAGATTCAGACTTTTAGACACGAGGAACAGTTTATGATCAAAGAATTCTAAAAAAAAAAGGTGTTTTTCATGAGGGACAAACAATAACTGACAACCCTTTGAAAAATGTTTGTATGAAAAGAAAATACATAGAACTGAGGGCCCTATATAAACTATGCAGTGTGTGGTTTTAAGTACATGGTAGAATAGCATTAAATACTGCACATAGGTTTTAATAAATGTCTTGATTATTCATAGGTGTGTTTCAGGCATTACTTCTAAGCAAACAATGTTTTTTTTCCCATTCTCTTTAAAGCCCGGCTGGCTTATTGCTTTTTTTTTTCTCTCTAATATTTCATGTTGTAACCTTGAGCAAAACATTCAAACCAATCAGTCAGCAGAGATGCTGTGATTGTTCACAAATCAGACTTTAAAGGTGAAGGGACATTTCCAGAGAGTCAATGAAAGAGACTAATCCTATTTTGTGATGTGTTTAGAGTCCCAGGCATGCGCGGTGCAGCCTTATAATAATATTAACATTCCCTGTTGGACTTTCATTTATACAATTCTACTTTATCATCACATTAGGATGGTTCCACCTGCACGCTGCTTCCTCCATCAGATTAAATCTATCAAGCACGGCAGGAGTGTCGTGTCATGCAACACCCATAGAGGCCCTGTTTGGTTGCAGCAATCATGTGTTCCCAAGATCACTTCACACATGACTGAAAAAAAATGCGACACGCAGGATGTCACTGGTGAAGCACATGTGTTTTCAGTCAGTGTGTGCTGACTAAGTGAGAGGTTTATTGGGAAAGAAGAACAGCTTGTGTTCTTACCTGAGACAGTCCTGACAATCTCTGTGGTGTTCCTCAGGCCAACGAAGGAGAACTGGTAGAGCCTCCAGGAGCGAATGTCCCCGACCTCGACTGAGCTCCTCTTCCACTTGTACACAATTTCCTCTCTGGGGTAGCCATCTGAGAGGGAAAGAACAGGGGTTACACAAGGAGAGGAGAGGAGAGGAGAGGAGAGGAGAGGAGAGGAGAGGAGAGGAGAGAAGAGGAGAGGAGAGTCGTTAAAGGATTTTCAAAGACTCACATTCCTCCCTTTTGGAAAAATCTTAAGACCCTAAGTGTTGGGTAACAAACCATAGAGCACTATGTGTTTTCTTTCAGTGTAATCTGTATACCAACAACGTCAGCAAGCTAGTGTGTAAACAAACTGCATCATTAAACAATGATTATATAACAGACATGAGCACAAAATGTGGAAAAAATATCTAGTCCATCTGTGGGGAAAAAGCGTGCTCTCTGTAGTCCTGATTTGACTTCAAAACAACAATTACTAGATTGTTTCAATGCTAGATATGGGTTTAGTAATTCTATTACCTCAAGAGGCTGCTCTCTGCTTGTGAGATTCATGACAACGATATAACATGTTTGATAGTGATTCAATTAGAGGAGCAAATGAATTATCATCATTAAATCGTGTTCGTTAGCATTGAGCATTTGTCTTGTATCAAAGATAAAAAAAAAAAATAGCCATAGTTGACCTTCTTTTAAACTAATAAAAAATACAATAGAGAACTGGCCTCCTGCTCCTGTGAATGGACCTGACTAAATCTCTCCCGCTCCAGGTGTAAAGACCGACTGTAATGATCTTCAGCTCCTTTCAGTTGCAGTCTGCAGTCTGGTGCTCTGTAATGATGAGCTGTGTGCAGCCGTTGAGGGAGGGAGTGGCTTGAATAATGCACACATGAAACTTCCTCGGTGCAAACTTTAAATGGCTCTACGACTAAAGTGCTCTCAGACATCCAGTAATACTAAACCTTAGAGAGGCAGAGGATGGAAGGATCTACCCTGTTTGCCACATTATGCTCAGCCAGACACACATCACTGCCTGGACCTCTTATTGATTCAAATGTCGTGCCGGGAAGCTAGACAAAACGTCTGAAATTCACTTTGGAAAATAGCTCTGCTCTTGTCAAAACAGTGTCTTTAATTAAAACATTAAAAAGGATCTACATTTATAAGAAACTGGATATACAACTTCAACACATGGAGCTCTAAGTCATTCTATCACTTGAAACAGTTTCATCAAATCACGCCGAGTCCCGCAGACAGTCCAAGGAGCAAAAGAGGTTGAACTAGAAATCTTCAATTCTTTGTATCTGTGTGTGGCACGTGCTGAGACAATATGCCACGTGATAAATTTGCAGCGCACTGCTCTGCCTAATGCCTCTGGAGCTCATGTTGCTGTACATCAAGCGATGTTCAAAGTTCTTCAAACATCCACGGATTCTCATCACATTTTAAATCGTTGCCTCTGTTCCATTTTTAGGCCTGCTACCCCCTTGGTTTCTCTTTTTTTCTTGTTTCTCTGGAGCTATTTAAGAAGCAGTCTCTCTGGAGAATATCCCACGGTGCATCTCTCTGAGGGTCCATAGCGGCCTCATTAGCATAACTTAGTGCCCTCCCCCCCCTCCCCCCCCAAACACTCGGCACACGCAGGAACTGACTCATTTGGACTCCTGTCACTTTTTTGAAATGTCTTTTGTAGCAGTATTGATAAAATGTAGGGGAATCAATCAGTGCTTTGCCTTTGGTCACGTTGGCAATGAAACATCTATTATTAAAGCCCTTTGCCGAGTGCCAGAGCATAATATGAATGAATGGTTTTATAAATGTTTCTGTTCACATCTTATTGTAACACATAAATACATATTAATAATCAAGAAGAGAGCTCTTCTCAGACGGAAATAACGTTTGAATTCTGTGTGAGCATTTTATTCTGAACATATTTCACATGCGTATGTGCATAAATCTCTTCAACCTATACATGCATATTAATACTACTTTTTTCCATAGGATTATATTGGCCTTAAGGGCGTCCTTAAAAAAAAAAAAAAACATAGAATGAATACCTCCATGTTGCCTGTTGCATAATGAATCCCTATGTGATGTCTTTGTTGTGTTGCTTGGTTCATACGTGGCTTTTTATGGCCACAGTGTTGGTGTGTGCGTTTGTTTGAGAGTGAGAGTGAGGCAGAGGGGGGGAGGAGTAAGATGTGGGGTGTCACCATATGGCCAAACTTACAGCTTGAAAACTCCAGGGGACACGAGTGCTCATCCATTGGGAAGTTGTTCAGTTTAAGCTGGCACTCGGCGTCGATTGTCAACCTGCAGGGACACAATATTTACATTTACTGACTCAGTTGCTTTGAATGTACATCAGTATTTCAAATATGTTCAAATAAATACCAGTATATCACAAACGATTAGGCTAAGTTAGCAAGTGGAACAGAAAAGTCAGAATTAAACCTCTAACCTCATTGGTATTGACAGCAATATTATTCATTAGAAATTCACTCAGCTAATTTGATGTTTTTCACAGCAATGCGCCCGTTGTCTTCTTCTCACACTTGAGGGACTTTGAAGGCAAAGTCATTAAACTTCCCCTTAATGAGAGAATGACCTTAAACGATTCTACCCATCCATGCACGCGCCATTGTCATGTATCATTGTCCTCCCAATCACAGCGGCCATCCTAATTAACCAGTGGTTACATTCTGAGTTCCTTAACAAATTAATGAAGTGGAGAGGTAGTGTTCTGCATAGGAGAACATCCATCACGGCTCGATTGAGTCCAGGAGAGTTCACCTTCTCTCATATTACCACTGATTATATACCGTGGTCGGTCGGTGTAAATGTCTGCTGAATATATGATCTCATGCTAAACACCATAATAAGCACACTTAATAACTGCCTTTGAATAATCCTCCTGTTGACACATTATAAGTGCTTTTTTTCTTCAACATTTTACACCAAAGGAACATCAATGAGGGCGAGTGATGTTGTATAAATATCAACATGGCTGTGTTTCAGTCATTCAGATTCAGGTATGAGGCCACATATTGAAGTCTGAAAATACTCATAACCGTGCTCGTATTTGGTACAACAGCACAACATCAAGTGTGAAATTGCTTTAAAAGCTAAAAATAGACGTTCACAGCAATAAGTTACAACAGATCATTGTTTTGTTTAACATTTTCCTACACCAGCACTGCTAGTTCTGCAACTGCATAGGCACTGGACTGTTGCCAAGCATGACCAACATTTTCCTGCACTGCTGCCTTTTTGTGTAATTCTACACGCTACCTCAGACCAGCTACTGTGCATCTAAATTATTTCTTAACTTAAAGGTACCATCTTGATTAATCTAGACACAGGCAGTTTGCTGTTATCTTCATTTATGGTATGCATAACACCTGGGACTGAGTAATACACATGTTAAAAAGTCCCAGAGCTGTTGTACTCTATATCAGTGCTCATGGGATGCTTCATGTCCAATTAGATTACCTGCTTAGAATTAACTGTTAAAAAATTACAAATAACTTTGCAGCCATGTGGTTTTTGGGCAACCAATTACTTCAATTCTTGACTTCTTACAGCAAGAATGGACCACTAGACAACCTGGTAGTATTTAAGAGGCCTTTCTATTTAGATATGTTTACAGAAAAGAGATTCACATGCATAATACATAACCAAAGTGATAAATATATATATAAAAAGTATTCCCTCTTAGCCAAATAGTCTGTGCAGGGTTACCTTTAAAAACATCAGTTAAGGGCAATGTAGTTCCAGTGTCCCCTTGTTACTGACTACTGCTTTATTCAAGGTTCCTACTGGCTAATTAATGTCAAATTAAAAATGCAGAAATTTAAAATGGCCTAGGGCCTTTTCTGGATAATCAGAGCCATGAATCATTAATACAGATAGGCTGTAAAGTGTTTGGTACTTCTACAAGCCTACGTGGCTAATTGTGGTGGATTCCAATTTGAGCATGAATCACCTTTGTGACATGCAACTGATTATAATGCATTTCAAATGCTGCAAAGTTATTAGTTTTAGGTCCAGTAAAAACATATAAATGGTTGGAGCGAGCATGGTGGCTGGTTGTATTTTTTTTTTTTACCAGATCTGTATTAACATGAGCTTTCTCTTATCATGTTGCATTAAAAAAGGTGCAACATGGCTCAGAAAATAATTACTGACAATTCAAACTTTTTGGTGTAATTAAAATAGAAATAACTATAGGCGAAGAACTCCCAGCCTCACAATCACTCACAGAGCGAGTCATACAAATATAAGATGTACCTAAACCAGTGATATTACTAACTCTTCTCATGCAGCCCTCATGTTTTACCTGAGGGTGTACAGTATCCGACCATCGTTCCAAATTCGAAGCATGCGATTGGGCGTGGTGATCCAGTGGGCGTCGGCCTTCTTCGAGTTGCGGAAAAAAGTGTCTGGGATCCAAATCTTCCCGACCATGTTGCTGTTGAGACGCAGAACCTTCATTGTGTGGTTGAATTTTAATCTTCTGTCGTACCAAGTCTGGGCAAAAAAGATGTCGATGGTGTATTCCTGAGGAATGATAAAAACACAGTTTTACCAGAATGCTTATGTTGAACTTCAGTCTTAAAGCTGAACGAAACATATGATATGAAAGTCTCTGTTTGTGAGGAAAAAAACCTCGCAAACATTATTGTTTGCAACTAGAGCTTTCAACAATCTGTGGCTTGTAACTAAGATGCAATGAGATCAGATTCAATGTGGGCTGCAAAAGCACGCTCTGTTTCTTCTGTCTATGCCAAAGGAAACTAAATTCTGTAACACATTTGTAGGCACATTTCCTCCGACAAGATGGTGTCTATTCAGGCCAACAAGTCCCTTTCTCCCTGCTAAAGAGTTCTGTTGAAAAAAGACCGTCTTGGCGCCCTCGACCTGAAAATTAAATGTTCAACGGGGCAATTAATAATTCCCCTTGTTTGGCTGAAGTATTATCTAACCTCATAACCCGCTGCCTTGGCAGCACTTCGTCCTGAGCCTGACAAAACCTTTTGTCTGCTATTCAGCCCCTGTGAGAGCTGCACTAAAACGTACATATGAGGGATGAAAACAGGGGCAATAGATGCCTGGGCAGAATTGAAGAGCTAAGAGCGAAAGGTGAGATGCGGTATAGTGTGAAACAGGAAGAAAAAAAAAGGGCATTGAATGAGAGGAAGCTATCAGTCTTTCTTATTTATTTTGTTATTTGGAATGGTTTAGCCCTGCGGTTCAAAGTGGAGTACAGCAGGGGAGAGGAAAAAAACCAGGGGATTTGTGTGCAAGAGGGCATAGAGGCATTAACTTCCTGACAAAGCTTAGCCCAACAATAAAGCCTAAATCCATGCCACAGAGTCCAAAACAAGATTTGAAAAACAACATTTTCAGCAGGCAACATTCCCATCCTTTCAACATCATGCCCCCCCCTTCCTCCAATAAAACACAGAGTGACAGTTCAAATGAAACAATGAGAGAAAGGCAGAATGCCTGAGGACCCTCATCTGGGCCCTGCTGACTGAGATAAACATCTCCTTTTTTTCCTTTTTAACCTATATTCACTCTTGGATCTCCACAGAATCAAACTACCATCCTTCGATTCATTTAAGAACTCCGTGCCTCAACAAAGCATTCATTTATGATTCTGTTTCTTCTTCAGAAACACACTGTTCCACCTCTCCCTCTCTCATATGACTTTCAAAGATTTCCAACGCACAATTAAAAATTCGAAGTTGTGTTCATGCCTTGATGCTCCTTGGAAAGTCCTCCAACCTCAATGCATTTCTTATGTTATTGAGTGACAGCAATGGCCCCGTCACTCTGATTATATATGAATGTGAAGCAATCACTGCAACAAACACATTTTCTAACTGATCACATCAATGTGTCTTCTCCTACTTCACTGTGATTGCCGTTATTTTGAGTGGGTGTTTTAGCCAAGACTTAGTGAGATGGAACACCACCACCATGTAGAGCAGACTGCGCTGCAGAATTACAATAGAAGTGGGTTCACAGCGGGAATATGCAGCAGAAAACAAAGACACATTAAACGAGCTGTTGTGAGAGTTTTCTAATTCTTCTTTCTTCTATAAGCTTTCTTTGCTCTGCACTTTAAGATGACCTATTGCGACCTGTTTTGGATGCCACTGCAGTTTGACAAAGTTTATTCCATAGCATTCCCTGAGCTTTGTGAAGTAGTGTTCAAGACCATTTAAGAAAAATATAAGCTATAATTAAAAAATAAAAACATTAGGCAGGCACTCTCTACATGAATCTCACAGCTTAAATTCAGAATTTACGATATTTTCAACTCTCCAATTGTTATCTTAATGGGACAGTGAATTGAGATTTGGAAGCTGTCACTGTCAAAATATCCAGTTCTCCCACTCCTACTGGCTGCAATAAATGTGGATTTAAAAAAAAAAGTAACATATCTTTTTCTTCACAGAGCTCGATATCAGCTCGACTAGCTTATAAGAACTTGAACAATAAATGAGATGTCAACGTTTTTATTTTTAAATGTATTTCACTGCAGCATATTAACTCGTATGCAAGTAACAACAGACAGAAATGGTCAAAAGCCCACAGAAATCTACCTTCAAACTAGATCTAAAGAAAATCCCAAACTGTAACATTTATTTGATCAAATAAAAAGAATTTGAACAGGTAACACCTCCGATTTTAGCTGATTCAATCCTTGGCCACAACAAAGTGAGAACATCTCTCTGTTTGCCAACACACACAGCCTTTGCAAATATGCTGCTTGGAGATCTGGCCTGATTCTTTTGGGAAAAAACAACTGGCTGACTGTTAAATATAATTATTTTGAAATAGTGGTTGTATGCAAGCTATATGCATTGCAGTGTTTCGCACAGCACTTCTAACAGCAGCTTGTTACAAAGAGCTGTGTACGCGGTTACTAGATGTAACTCCATTTCTATGAGTATGTGTGTAGCCGTCTAACGGGCTTGGTAACAAATAGGTGTTCATGTTTATCAAACTGCTTGTATTATTATATGTAATTTTAGGCAGATGGGGGGGATATTATGTCACTAGTGTAAATTTTGTGTTTTTGTGTTTAATTCACCACCACCACCACCACCCTTGCTGACGAGCCAGCTCCCACCTCAACTGGAGAATTACCTTGGGGAAACACTGCATTGAATGGACCACCTTAATGCACAGTGGTGCAAAGCTTGGTGCAGTACTTAAGCAGCTGATTGACACTCAAGTGTTGCAATACTACAAGGGCAGTGGGGCACTATAGTGATTACGTGGACCAACCAATCTGCCATAACAGCAAGCTTCTGCCCTGCTGAAGTGTACTTGAACAGGGCACTAAGTCCCTGTCAGCTCCAGCAATTCTCTGGATCATTGTACAATGACCTCACTGAGGATGGATGGAAAATGATCAACGCAGAATTGGGAAGTTATGTTTCTTAAGCAATTTCAGGCTAATTATTAATAAGAATGAAGGCACACTGCATCATATTTCGTATAACTTACCATATTGATGGCATTTACTGGCCCGATGCTGTTGACAAACATATCCGTGTGGATCACCGTGGGTTTGACTGCAAAGAAGCATAATAAAACCAATTAGAAAGATAAGCAGTTGCACAACAAGTGATGAAAACTTATTTTTCAGTTTTGTATATGGCATCATTATGGTGGACCAAAAAGAGGGAAATGACACACTAGGGAGGAAGGTGGGGTTTATGGCATTGAGGAAAAGAAAGTTAAAAGTATTTTACAGTACAGTTATTACAGTAACACTTCATGAATTGTTGTGAATGATTGAAGGTGTAATTCAGTTTTAGATTTTCTGATCGGTTGCTGCAGCCTGGTCTGCAACACAGACATAACCAGGGAGTATTATTGATCTTTTCTACCTTATTGTAAGGCAAGACATCCACTCTATTAACATTATCGACTGTAATTTGCTTAAATCGAAATGAGCCAACTTTTCTGTAACAGGATTTCACCACTCCTTAAATACATCAGATAAAGCTAATAAAATGAAAACGCCATTGTAGGCTTGCAGATTAGATCAGAGCCTAAAGAGCCATTTTCGTCTTCATACAAGCTTCCTGTCCATGACAGAGAACCTCGCAGTCCGTCTGTATTTACGACTGAACTCCTGACCCATTTACCAAGATACTTGTGTTTCCTCTGCAACATCCGATATGTGCTTTTTTCTTCTATGTGGGCTCCTCTTTATGGCCAAATAGGTAGTCTCTTTTCTCCAAAAACTTTCTGGAGCCTGGCACTCCCACAGAGACACACTTTTAAATGAATCCCTCCTCTTGAAACTCGCGTCTTCACAGATTTAAAAAGGGATAAAAATGATATTGAGCCCAAAACAGACCACCAAATAATAAAACACATCACACTGGAGCACCGGCTACGTTGGAAAAACATATTTACTTTATAACCCAAGACCATTCGATTGAGGGAATTTATGGAGCCAAAATGAGATGTTTGCTTTTTCACAACTATTATTGAAAAATGTGTGCTAATTCACCTACATGTTGGGGCAAATGTCCACTACCATGCATGTTGCTCTTGGTGTCGGCCAGTTTATTGTGAGATGAATTGACAGAGCATGAACGCCCTTCTAAACCAACTTGAATCAGCTTCTACACTTTGCTATCTACTGCATACATTCATTGATGAGTGGATATTACGTATGATAGTCAGGTCTGGACTTTACCGTCCTCCAGGCTTGGTATGGGAGCTATAGGGGGAGAACGGGCTGGACATTAAGAGTGAATGCAGGTTTGCATCAATTTTTGATGTCACCCAAAGGCATTCATGTATGTGCATCACAACCTTAACCCTACACACCCTTTAAATGTATGAAAACACACAGCACAGACATTCACACAAGCCCATATACAATGTTATTTCTGGTTTTTACTTCATTTCGGGCAGTTATGTATCACTGTTAACCAAACATTAGTAAGTGGTTATGAATACTAGTGCGTGTTTTTTTATTGGCATCATTAGAATATATTTGGACAGAAAATGTGATGCATAAAATAAGTAATCCTGGACTGGATTATAAGTCAAATCACTAACCAAGTTATGGACATGGCATAAAAACACATTTTGTGTCCTATTTGCAGCCAAGTGGAAGGTGGATGTGTTTCATAAATGCACAAGAAGATGCCAAAGAATTTTTTTTTTTTGTAGGTGCCAGTGAACATTAAGTGGCTCTGCAAAAATATCTTACTGGCTCTCAGAGACAACATTTAAGATGCCAACAAGCCCGCCCAGGCACCCTGGTAAAAATCTGGTTTAATCAGCTTGTAGACTCAAACCATATGCATCACCTAAAATCATGAATAAATTATATTCGAATGAATGTATGTCCTTAGTGGTATGTTTCACATCTGTGAGTGCTTTGAAACAATGTATTCATTTGTTGGAAGGCAATAACCTTGATCAATGCCATGGATGTTGTGTGGCTGAACACTTAAGGGTTTTCAGAATCCCTGCCCCCCTCTCTTCCTCTCTCACTGTCTCTGTCCTATTTGCTTGGATTTCAGACTTACAGTAGACTCAAGGGGCATTCAAATTAAATGAACATCACAATGGACTTCAAAGGGAGACAGTGGCACAATCAGCAAAGAATCTAAAGCCACAGCATTTCAGCGCTCTGAGGAGAGGAAAAGAAACTTCTCTCTGCATTGGTGTGGTTGCTAGGTTGATTGGTTGGTGGATCAGATGACAATATAGCCAGCTAATTATAACCCCTCTGTAGCTGTGTAACTTGGCAGCAGCTGGAAGACCAGCGCTTGAGAGAGAGAGAGAGCGAGATCATAACGCGTTTGAAGATGATGGTTAAGACGGTGGCAGCCGGCCACCCAGCTACGCGGAAGCTCTCTGGGTTGAAGCTGCACCTCAAAGTGGATCTGAGCTGCTCTTGAATTTATAGCACAACCTCGTCTGAAGCTTTAAGAATACAGATGATGCCCTTCATGAAACGTGATGAGTATATGGGAGAAAAAAAACATTAAAGTCGCTGAGTGTTACAGGTTCACTCATCTGCTTTCATCTTGTGCCATCACTGCAGTCTATTTATTAGTCATTATCTTAAACTGCATGAGGTCAATCCCCTGCAGTGGATCCTCAGGCTAGGTGTTTTTTCCTCATTTCTAGTGATTTGCATTATTTGTGGTTGGGAAAACAGTCAACAATTGTTTTTTTGGCTGATGGAGCTGGTGATGAAGTAGTACATTTACTCTGACTTTTGACAGTGAAGAGCATTGACAACGACCCAAACCACATTCTGAATTGTAAGAAAATGCAATAAATGCAAAAAAAGACACAAAAAGGCTTAGTCTGGCTCCATAGCATGACGATCTAATTGAAATTCAGTTAAATAAGTACAAGAGTATTTTCACATTATATAAAGTAAGTGTGTTATAGGGTGTCATTGTGTTTTTTTGTTCTAAGGAGCCCTTTGTAACTATTGGTCTGGTTGCAGGTTGTTTATTTCACTTTGATTCCCACTTCAGGTCTTTGTACTCCTTTACTTTATATAGGACTACCTTGAGGCGAACAAGGAACATGTAAAATGGCTCAAATGTAGCCCTGTGACATCGCAGGATTAAAATGGGCCATCTTCTCAATGTAGCCTTGCCATTTGCAGTATTAATGCAGCACTAGTCAGGACCTCTAAAGTGACTGAAGAAGCAATCTACTGCCAGCCAAGAGAGTAGCATATCTTCATTGTTCCTTAGCGGTATGTGTCACGTCCAGAATACAGCCAGTTCCCAGTACAATACTGCCCATGAATCAAGTTTTCAAGGGTACTGAATATCTCCCTGTTCTGTTCTTGCAGATGGCTTGACAGGCTTTAGGATATATGTGCACTTGTGTAGACAAGTGGAGGCATGCCCAGCTGCTGTCCGTCAAAGTGAAGGGAGTAAGCTTCCTGTCTATCTCTCACATTGGCAAGACAAGGCTTTTTAGCAGGACAATGATGGACAGCTATCAAGGCCATAAAACATACATGTTCATAAACACATACTTATAAGTCAGTCAGAGCACAACAATAATGCATGGGATGGACACAAACAGACACACAAGGACACTGTGTTGCCCAGCAGGCAGTAATAATAAACTGTGAATCCTGTGAATATTAAAGCCTCTCTGGGTTCAGTTTCTGCAGCTCAACTACAGTGAGTATGAGCAGGCAATCCAGCTGGACTACCATTTTCATTTCATGCCATTAAAAAGTCATTATTTCTTATCATTTTGCAATTTGCAGCAGAGACATTCAAAAAATGTATCAGGTGGAAGGACTAACATTATTACTGGCTACCTCCTGGTGAGGAATAGTTCAAAGTCACAAGTAGGTTTGAAGCCTTGGCTTTGAAGTCCTGCTGTTTTCCTCTGCCTTAAACACTAAAAGTTAAGCAGATTTACAGAAATAATGGATGACTTAAATGGTAGTGATTAACTACTTTGAAAAAATCTTCACACCATTTAGACACAAACATATCGGTGTGCCTCCGATTCTTTATTCCTCCTACTAGGGTTTCAGTTTGGGGATATTCAAACAAATGTCTTTCCATTTTTACACCCAGACACGTTTTATGTTTGCCTTTTGAGAAGTAAGTTACAGCATAAATGGTATTACTAGCTACAGATGATACTCTCTGGTAATGTGCTAAACCAGCAAAAGCCAGATTCAGCACAAAAGGCAGTACACCTTTTTGTACATTTTGGTGCAGGGTGACTTGCTGCTGCCTGAATGATTCCAAATGTTTGTGATGTTGACTAAAAATACTGTGTTGACATTTGAGTCCGGGAGGAATTGATTCTCAGCCATCAGGTTAGAGTTCAGTAGAGAATAGATTGGTGTTGAAGTGTTTTCTTTTTTAAAAATCAGGTTAATGATGAACAGATCCTTGATCCAAACCCTGTTTACTTCAGTCATTGTCATTCCCATTTGTTGTTAAATCCTCTTCTTCGTCTTGTTGAGGTGAAGACCTGACTCTTGTGCATATAAACTCTTTTTAAAACCCCATGAGCAATGACAAAAGTCCATTGTCATCACCAGTAGTAAACACAGGGCTGCTTTAAAGCTGACGCTTCTTTTTTCTTAAATTAAGAGAACTCGTCTTGGCAAGTGTGTGTGTGTGTACATAAAGTGTGACAATGTGTGTTTAAGGATGCAAGTGTTTCTTCTTACTTTGCAAAAGTGCTTAAGTTGCGCTATTTCTATAGTGGCTTGATTCTGGCTACAGAAAAGGAGATGTTACTTCTTGAAGATTTATTCTCTTGAGTCAGTTTATAGTGACAGCTTAGAGAACTATGGCTGTATTAAAGTGATGAATGGTTGTATATTTCTGGGTTGGTGTGTTGGGCTCTACATCATTGCAATACATGTACATATACAGTATATAGATGATGTCTTTAAAAGAAAAATATACAAGCAGCATCAAGCAGATGCACAGTAAATGGGGAGATGACTTGGCTTAACCTTGTCAGTCACTTAAGCATGTGTTTGATTTGACCTATGAACATGGAAATATATTTTTCTTAATTTCTCTTAGTAAACTGATAAACTGAAAAACAAGTGCCCACCTCCGATGTCAGGTCTCAGTTTGTTGTCGTATCCATCTAGTAAGCTGTTAAGGATGTGCGTGACATCACTCTCGTATACTTTTGGGGTCAGCACCCACGTCTTGTTAGCCACCTCATCATCGTCATCGGTCTGGAAGGAGCTGCGAGGGAGAAGAGGAAGAAAAACATGAAATCAATAATTTCTTTTAAAGCACACGCTGTGTCTCTGGTACTGTGCTAATCCTTCCATACAGGGAATTATTTGGAGAGACAGACAGAGAAAGGTGTTTTGAAGATTTCAAACCAAGGTCAGATGATGAGCTCGGGAACATTTCCAAAGCTTTTCATCACCTCAACATAGCAGCTGCATTGAAGGGCTGAAATATACGATTTTTTCCTTTCATTCTGAAATAGTTTGATGAAAGATAACAGGTATAAAACAGATGAAAGTGACATAACGTGATCACAATAAAGAATAAATGAACTGATAGACATTCAGAGGAATGTTTGTGATGCATGTTCTTAATTAATTAATTATATCTGACTGTAAATCTGCCATCAATCAAACACAAAAACATTTTGTAAACATGTCTTAGTACTAAACTAAACCCACATCTAGGAGGACCATTTAGAGCACTATATGTTCTGATCAAAGGCTCAGTTGTAATTTTAAAAACATAAAGTATTTAGACCAAATGAATAAGGTAGACTACAGTATGTGCTCTGTGATGATAAATGTGAAACTGAGATGAAAGGGTTGAACTTTGAGATTGTAGCTCTCCGTACACTTGACTTGTTTTATTCTTTAATGTCTGAAATATAATTATTCAATAATATTATATTCAAGAGTCACGGCACCTTCCTGGAAAACCCTTTTATGTGATTGTGTCTTTCATATCCTAATAATGGACTTACCAACATTCTGGTATTTTATTCTTGTGATGATTACAAACCTACTACGTTTCCATTCACTTCACTCTTTAAATGTTTAAAGTTAGTATCCAACAGTTTGATAAAGTTTCATTTCCAGGTTCCTCTACTATTTCTCAAAATAGCTTTCATGAACATAACAAAATTAATATAAACAAAGAATATTATAGTTCATGGATTTGCTGCCAGACCATCCTTAACAGCTAAAGCATTCCAGTGATTTGAAAATGAGAAACTTAAAAGAAATAATGAATAGATTCCAAGATGGCAAAGTGGAAGAAGCTGATGTAGAAATCTTCTGTGATATTTTAGAGTTGTTGTTTTTAATTGGAGGAGAAAAGCCAGTTTTCTGAGAGTATCTTCCCTCAAACCTCTAAAACTAAAAAGCATAATGATGTCTCGAGAGCCCCAGACCGCAAATACCTAGATGACGGAGCCATAAATGTTATTTCCTGCTTCTCCAGAGAGACGTATGATCTTGGTCAATTATACAATCAAAGTGCAGATTTAGTTTTACTTACAATACCTCCCCTTCGTTTTTGGAAAGGAGAATAGAAACTTGATGTATGTTATTGTATGCATGAGGGAAAATTGCTGTAATGCATGAGGAGAATGCTATAAGACAGGAAGTTTGTACTGCCATTGGCCCTTTCTGTGCAAAATTAGTGTTTGCTTTATTGAGGGGGCAATTTATTACACAATCAGTGTGTGGGGTTTTATTCTCGACCCATTCTAGACTCTAAAAGGTTTGGTGGGACTTTTCTTGAAACAACACAAAAAAGCATGTCACGAGATAATGATAGGGGAAGATGTAACAATATCCTCAATTTGTTCTAAAGCTTACATAAAACAATCATAGAAAATCATTAAGCTACAATAAGACTGATTACTGTTGCTGTCCAGGGGAATACAAATCTATACAAAAGCAATATACATGAGTCTAGGGAAATAAATTTATCTTATCGGCATAATGGCTCAACATGGTCATCCTAAGCACCACTTCACAAATGTATCTGGACATTAAAATACCAAAACACTGAGGCCAGATCAATGTTCAATTTTTTTTTCTTTTGCCATTTGCAAAGAAAGTTGCACTTTACAGCAACTGAACTGAGATGATATAGTGTTTTTTCATTGTATATATGCCTTTTAATTTAGGTTTATTTCTGTCAGACAATTTTTTTATTTCAGATTTTGTGGAGAACTTTGATTTATAGATCCCCACTAAGCGACAAAGAAATGTAATCAAGCCTAGACCACCTCATAAGTAAAGTAACTCTGCAGAAGCTCTGCATGTCAAGCTCAAGCTCTTTTTCATACAAACAAAACCACAGCTCCCCACCAACCCTTTAACAGTTCAGTTCATGTGGACACATAATATATGTTTGCTCTTTGTAATTTTCGTTGTATTTTTTTAAGCATAAGTGTCAGAAATACTTAAGAGTAGAGAACATATATACAATACATAATAGCTCACATAAATTACTCATTATCACTTACTTAAAAACAACAGTTTGCATTAGTTTGGATGAGGATAATTTTCCAATTGAAAAAAAATGTCCCCTTTCTAAATATAGCTAATGGAATGTGCATTCAAGCACACATTCATGTCTCATTTGCATATCTTATGATAGAAAATATACATTTGTGGCTGTTCAAGTAAAAACAGGGTTTTAATTTGCGACACAGAGCTTCAAAAACAAGGTAGAGACAAGTGGATAGAGTAATAACTTGATAACTAAAAAAAACAAACGAGAGAGTTGTCACATTTTAGGTATTGTAAAACCCTCAAGCTGTCAAAGCTCTTCATAAACTATGCACCTCTAGTTACCATAAAGAAGCAGCATAAAGAAGCACCCTTGAAATAGTTGTGAGCTTTCAAAGAGGCTGTGGAGCAATGAGAGGAAAAGATACCTCTGAATGAAGAAATAAAGACTCAGAAATGGTGAGAGAATAAGACGCAGTTTCCATGGTAAAGCACAAGGACAGAAGCCCTGATAGCTTTCTCATGTTCTGAGGCTGGGTGTGAGGACCAATGTTTTGACCAGCACTCTTCCTTGGGCTGCATTAAAGTGCCAATAAGTGCCTGCCAGAACACGAGTGGCTAAAACATTAAATCTTGATCATCTTACTCTGGTAGACCCTTTTAGATATGAATAACTGGTTGTTATGAAAAAAATATCCACGGAGCATCAGCCTCTGACATGTAGACAAAATAGATAGATGGATGGCTGAACATATGGATAGATAGATAGACAGATCGATAGATACAGTAGATAGATAGATGGATGGACATATGGATAGATAGGTAGACAGATCGATAGATACAGTAGATAGATAGATAGATGGACAGATAGATGATAGATGAGATGATGGATGGACATATGATGGATAGATGCTTGACAGAAAGAAAGATGTGTGGTATAGGTATATGTCTATATTGAAATATGCAAAGATAGGTTAATGGATGGATTGATAAACAGTTTCATTGGTGGCTGAACATGGATTGATTAATTGAATGTAAGTAAGAACATAGCTAGATGCACAAATAGATGGGTAAATAAATGAATATAGATGAGTATGATAGATGATTGGATTATGTGACATGCAGATATATGCATATGTGGGGACATATATGGGTAGATGGATGGATACATAGACAGAATGGTTAATGGTTTGATGGCTTGATAGTCTGATTAATGGATGGACATAGATTGTTATGTTGTACGGTAACATTCATAGGTTGATAAAAGCATGAAAGGTAGATGGATAGATAGTTAGATAGTAGTAAGAATAATGACCTCGAGGACCATTTAGAACTCTATTTGGAGGTTACTGCAATGTTACCATCTATATTCATCTTGCAGAGGACCTCTACTTGGAAAGGCTCCAAAGACGAGCACATCAAAGGAAGAGCCATGTGTTCTCCACTGCGGGCAGATCTGATGTTTTGCCTGTTAATTTAGTACCTGAAGATCTACAGAGACGTCTTCACCAGTGTGTTTGTGCATGCTTGTGTTTGTAGCTGTGTGTGCTGTTTGGTGTTTGTGTGTTTTTTTTTATTTTGTGTTTATCATGCATATGCATGTCCGTGGCTGTGTATATAATGAGGGAGAGTCCTGGAGTTAAGTGTTGTGTTCACAGCTCATCACATTGAGGACAATCTACTAGTTTCATACATTCGAACCCTTCACATTTTGCACTTTCATTAAGAAGCACCCTCATTTTCTCTATAGCAATAAAAACCTCTCCCTAATATAAAACACATCTCAAGGTTCTTGTAAAGCAGCAGAAGACTGCCCCTTCTCTGCAGTTTTTACTTGTTCAATAGAATGTCCAAGGAGAGTAAATTTGGCAGGATCAGCAATGAAAACAGCCATGTACCTACCATTAGCTTCCACAACAAGTTCCCTTGAGCTATTTTTTTTGCATGTTTTAAACTGAAGCTAATAAAGGAACCAGCCTGTAATGAACCCACATGCTTATTATTCACAAACATGTAATTGGTCCTGCACCCATGGCAACAACACAACAAACCACTCTTGCACATCCTGTTTTTGCTGCAATCCTCCTCTAACAAGTACTACCATTAATAAAGCTAGAATACACCATAATCACAGTGTTTTAACAGACTGTATTCCTTTAAAATTAATTAAAAGTAGTGTTTCTGCTTGATCAGCTGATTTTCCAATAATTACCATGTCATAGTTCTCACATACATGATTCAGAAAATCTATGCCAGCCTATCAGTTTACCTGTCCTCATGTGCTTACAGACCTCACTTGGTGTAGTCTAAATAAGATCACATTGATTAGCTAACACTGGAATGCAATGTATTACTCTCAGTGATTCCAGTAGTCGAGTTAAGGCCAATTTTCAAGTTCAATATTCTATCAGTTAGTCGAAATGCACTAGTGAACTAGTTTGGACTATTTAAAAGTAGAGCTATACTGCCATATGCGACTGAAACGTTAAACTTCATGATGTACACAAACCCTCAACAGCTCCATAAAATATTTACTACTCATTAAGATGGTGTCAACTTAGCATAATTGTGGGACTAATGACAGAGTAATAACAGGGACCAATTTTGGGTTGTAAATTTTTAGGAGTAGCGTGATTGCATTTAAATGGAGTTGCTTTAAACCCTTTTAAGAGCTTATGCATGCCGGGATATTTGCAGTGAGTCCAAATCAAAAGTAGCATTTTTAATAGAAAGGCGTACAAGGTAATGCACCACAAAGAGGACAAATCATCAGAAGACTAGTTTTAAATGTCTCCTAGATTCACCTTCTGTTTACTTGTTTGCTTTAAATAGAAGATAATGATCCCTTTTGGAATAAGGGCAGTCAAAAAAAAGTACTATATTTAGCCACAGATTCTTTTCAGAATAAGAGATAACAAACAGGGCCAAGACAAGCAAGGATGGCCATACTGAAAAGTTTTTATAGGATGCGGTCTTATGCAAGGTTTAACAGTGATAGCCATGACCTTCTGTCAGGTTTATTTTTGACGATAACTCAAATGAATCACTTCATGTAAGTAAAAGCAAATGTTGTTAATCCAAACCTTCCCAGATCTATCTCAGAGATCTAAATTCACTCACTTTATTCGGTTATGGGGGATATATGACGGACAGTAATAAGCAAAAGGCAGTCATGTGCTTTGTCATCTTCATGTCAAAGTGTCTGAAATCAACATTGGAAGCAAAAAGATTGGCATCTGTGGGGAATCTTTTTTGGAATTCTGCGACGTAAATACATATGATAGCCATTATGGGATACATGACAGATTGACAGTTAGACAAAATTGTACATTTTCAGACCCTTAGAAGTGCTGACAAGAGACAGATAGTGTGATGGCTTGATTGAGTCCAATGCACTGTAGGAATCCCATTTAAAGGGATGGATTTTCTTTCTTAGTAATGAATGGCACTCCCATATTGACAAAGCCATTCATTTAGAATCATTTTGGCTGCGGCTAACTGGAGTGCAACACGTGGCAGTTTAAATTGTAACTTTGTTAGAATTGATAGGAAATTGTGTTTCTGTGCGTGTGAAAATGGCCAAGAATACAACAGATGTTAATTCATTTTAGTATAAATTACTGCTGAGTAATATGTCAATTTCATGTTCATTCCATGTACCATGTCCCTAGAATATTCTAGCAAGTTCAAACAACCGATGACAGGTTGAATATAAATCCCTTCATTATTTTGTTTTATAATATACTAAGCCAGCTGCAGATAACTGAGTAGGCGTATGTTGTTGGCGAGGTGTCTGTTTATTTTCTGTTACTTGTGAAGAGATAGTTCATTTGTTAGGTTGTTAGTGGACATTACTCACTCAAAATGATACTGTTTTTGTTATTTCATATGAAAGCTGCATTGCTGGAAGTGTTTAATGAGCTAAACATTGTAGCTGTTGAAATAAGAGGCGATAAGGTGCAGGGATGTGTTCACATCACAGTATTTTCACATCATATAACAATATGTTTTATGAAACGAACCCTTAAAGATTTTTTTAAAGTCCATACTTTACTACTTTTGGCTCGTACAATGTTATTGACGTGTAATTAACAGCTAGTATTAACTGCAGGGACCTACCAATTACCTGTTGTATTTAGTAGTTTACATAATTAGGTTGTAAGAAACATACCTATTACCATTTGACATTAGCAGTAAATGTGATTATTTTTAGGAGAACTAAAATATAAAAATTCAAAAATAATTAACTGCAATGGAAATGCTTCAGGTACGTTTACAGAAAACAACAAACGTCTCCTTGCCATGATGGAAATACTCCCGTATGACATCACTTCCTCCTGTCATCAGTAGTGGCTTTTGGGCCTACATATCTACATATCTAAAGCCTATACCTCAGGACAGACAGCACTACATACCCAAATATTTGCAACAAAATCCCCCCCCCCCCCCACATCAATTTGGCTGGGTGCTGTGAAAAACTAGAATGCTGGTGAATGGGATGTAAAGCGGTAATTGGACGGAGCACAGGGGTAAATGTATGTTGACAGACAGCAGACATCACTACACATAGTAAGTGTCACAATGAGTCAGAAAGTAGCAAAGATTACTGAAAGCACGCTGGAGGCCTTGAGAGATATCTTATGTAAGAGGTCTCATACATGAATCACAAAGGCTTCAAATGCAATTTACAAAGCAATGGATGCCTTTTAATTATTGTGTGATATTTGAACATATAGGCTGACACTGCACCAGCCTAAATGATGTTGTTTTATAGGTTATGAGCAACATATATTACATTCAATTACCATTTATCTTTGTTGTGGCTACTTAAGAAGCACTGAAGTTTCACTTGCTTTAATCTAACACATCTCACTGTGTAACAACCAATCACAACTTCTAAAATCCATAACCTGTGTTCAAAGATACAACTAGTGTTTACTCAGGCATACTGTGAGCTCTACTTGTGCCTACAATTAAGAGATGCATAGGCCTAACAATGTAGGCTGGGCAAGGAGCCCTGTTGTTGCCATAAGCATTCGGTGATTGAACGTCGTCTGATTTATCTGCCTCCATTTTTCAACCTCCAGCAGCACAAGAGGAAAGCGGCACGAAGAGCCTAACCATCCATCCTCTTCTTGACTACTCTTCTTATCTTAGTGCTCGGGAATGTCGTCTTGACAGGGACAACTAAACAGCCTCACTAAACAAACTCGAATCTGCACCTGACGTTCAAGCATAAATGACAGCCTGCGTGTTCGCGTGCAAGAAGAGAATCAGTCCATGTGTTATTCTTGTCCTTATTGTGCCTTTAAACTGACTTGAATCCTCTTTGTGATTGTCTGCCATTTTGAAAAGCTTTTTTTTTTTTTTTTTTTTTTTTTTTAAATACGTGGGATGAAACATACCTTTATTCATGCACATGCTAATACAAACGACTGTTTGCATACTTGACTTCGGCCACATTCAATAAATAGGCTTTGGCTCTTAGAATAGACTTGATCCTTAAAGATAGCTTAGCACAGACTGTGTGTAGCCTTAGCTTCCAGCAAATTAGCTTGCCACTATGCTATTTCTAACGCGGGGCAGATTGTGTGAGACGCTGGGCTTTTCGTCTCGTCACAGAAATGTTTCACTGAGTAAAATGCTCGATGTTTAATCACGTAACAGCCGAATATTTAATGTTTTATGTAGCTGTCCGTCGCTTTTGTTTCCTTCTGGGAAATATACATGAATTCTCCCAGTTGTGGCTACCTAAAAAAATGTACATCACACTTCCCTCCCGAATCCCAATTGTACGTCATATTTGGCTAACCTTTATTATTTGGTTTCTAAACTACTTAATTCGCCACAGCAAAAACAATCTTCCAGGTGCACACGAATAGCAAGGGTAGTTTTGGCATTACACGGGAAGCGACGCAAAATTCTGTTACTGAAATAAGAAAAAGCTAACGGGGGAACCGACACACACTATATTCTTGTTTCCAGTGGAAATAGCAGGCAGTCATTTCTTACCTTGTTGGCAGATTAACGACAATAAAGACCCAGAGAAACAGCTTCAGAGGGAGGGAAGGCTTTGCCATTGCTGTCGAGCTTTTGGAGGCTAAATTTGGCGAAGCCATCATCACCATCTTCGTTTCCTCTTTATTGCAGATGGACGTGTCCGTCTATTTACTGTGTTTCCTCTCTACGATACATTACGCACGTTAGCAGTAGCGGGTCTGCAAATCTAGACCCGAGGCGGACGTGCGGTGGAGCGAAATCAGCCAAAACAAAATCGATGCGTGAGTCGAAAGCTGGATTTTTGTATCGTTCGTTCTCTTTTGGCGTGTCTGTAACCGAATTGACAGCCTTGCAGGGCCCTAAAAAAAAACTGCTTCAGACGGCGAAGCCCCCCCCGTAATAAGCTACAGTGAACGGAGCAGCTGAGGAAAGCAGTGGAGCCTCAGTCTGAATGCAGATTAGCGCTGGGGTCAGAGAGGAACTGATGCACGTTGCTGCAGCACGGATCAACACATGCGTGGTTTCACCGAGCGGAAGCAGGGGAGCATTGAATATTAGGAAAATACTTAGCATGGTGCTAATGGAAAAATGGTGGTTATAATTTCTTTTCACTGCTGGCAAGCAAAGTCTCGTTATGTACCACGTGACGCTTGTATAAAACACGTTTTAATTATGGCGAGGATCTGAGCATTAGCTTCTAGTGTGACTGTGAAACCCAAAACTATTTGGTAATTACTGAAAACTAATGTGAAAGAGCTATTAACACAATTCAATGCAGGGGCTATTAGATGCAGAATCAGTGTCCACAGTGGGGGCTGTTTCACTGGCACTTTTTCTCCTGAAAGTGCATAAAATAAACTTAATAATTAATTATATACATTTTGTAAGAGGAGGAGTGTGTGTTATGTGTTCCTCAATGCCACACAGATCCACTTAGAATCCCAAGTGAGCTGCAGCCATGAGGCCAGTCCAGACACGCTTTCAGCACCTTGGACAGCTCTATTAGTTTCATCTGCATTACAAACCACCAATCAGCACCAAGGACAGCTCCTGACGGCATGCTGCTTCTTAAATCAGAGGAACAGTTGCTCACACAGCGCAGCTGATTAAATTGTAAATATATGAATAAATGCTGTCACCCAAAAATGGAGAGCAGAGATCTGTTCAGTTGACTTTTCTGTTTGTTTTCTTCATTGATTGAGAGTTTGACTGAATGAGGTTAATTTTGTTTTTACCTTTATTTTACCAGGAGGTCCTGTTGAGATTAAACATGTATTTTACAAGTAGCAACCATTTAAAAATCCAAAACACATTAATAAACGACATGAATAATACAGTTGGATAAATTAATTGAAACTGTTCCAGTAGATGAACTTTTATTTAGGCATCATGCACTATTCTTCAATAATAAATGTGGCCCTCCTAGTATTTGGCATATTTTGTAACCAATCCAGGGATGATATATTGTGGTTTTTTTATATTGTCCTGCAGTGCTCTAGGACCCATTCTGATATCTTTATGTAAGTATGCTAATTCTCCTGCTTTGGTGGGCTGTAACTTATTTCCAAGGACTCCTTGAGGGGAAGTTTGAGGAAAAAAATGTGTTCATAATCTGAAATACAAAATGGTAGCCTGTCCCACACTGTCTCATAAATTACGCTGCCTGTACACTACCCTCTCTTTCTTATCTCCTCACTCTCTCTTTCTCTCTATATCCAGACACACATACTGTTTGAATGGAAAGTTTTGAAATCCCTTTTAGCACCACCTTATAAGAGAAGAGCAAAATAAAGATAAATAGGTCATGTGTTTTTGCATAATTTCCTGATTTCTGTTTTTACCAAGGGATATTTAATTTATTTACATAATTTTTATGTTATTGAGAAACATGTTTCATACACACATGGGCCCAGAATACACACATGCACAAACCTCCTATAGAGATGCATTTATGACTGCTTCTCAGGGAGCATGCCAAAGCTGTCGGCACCTTGCTCAAGAGCAGCTCGGCAAGTGAGCTGGCACCTGCAGCAACCAACTTCAATACTTTGGTCTGCGCCGGGGCTTGAACCAGCAACCCAAGTCTCACAGATTGAGCTACCCCCCCCCCCCCCCCAAACTTTCACATCTGCCAAGATTTCAAGTACTCATATTCTGAAAATGTATTTGCTGCTCAGATGGAAACAACAATTTGACTTCATGAAGAGTATATCAGAACAGTCGGTTACAGAAGTAAAGAAAAATAAAAATGAAGTTAAAACAATCAATATTCTTCCTCTTTGGACAATTCTTTTCACATTTAATTTAATTCTATATTCAATAACTTATTTTCTTTATTGACACAGTAACAAAAAAAATAAGAGTCACACAAATAAAGTTAATTGATCTATTTCAAACAAATTCCAACATTAAATGCAGAAGGCGAGAAAACAGCAAGATTAGAGTAGAGAGTAGCAGGTGCAGTGAAAACAAGCAGGTGCCTGCAGAGACTTTGTCTTGTCATGGTGCATTAGCCCAAATTCCCCTCTGAATGTTTCTTTTTTTTTCACAAGCATACATGCAGTGAACATGCTGCACTAACAATTTTATAGTCCCAGGAGGCCACAGCCATGTTGCACTGTGTTTTTATATCATCCGGGCCCCATAAACTCACTCTCTCAGAATGATAAGCAGTCACTGTCTCTGTGTAACTGTTTTTAAACACAAGTTATTTAAAATGTACCACAGCAATCAGAGTTGATTGCAGCTGTTTTCACCAGAGTGTGACACGCAAGGAAGATGAGGTGTGTCTGATTTGAAAACGCCATCCTGTGTTTATTAGAGGCAAGTGAGGCTCGGTGCAGGTTAATCATCTTAAGGAAATTGATGGATGCTTCATCAGTCATGCAGCACTCCTCGAAGCAAAGTGAACCAGCATACACTCCTGAATAAAGTGCAGATAGAGAGAGGAAGTTTGCTGGTCTATTTCATATGAACTGCTACGTCCAGTTTGCACATCCTTTGTAAATCAAAACATATTATATGACGATACATCTATTTCACAAGCAATGAAGAAACATGGCTTTTGTTATTATTTTGATTATTCAGAAACAAATTCTCTTTAAAAAAAAATATATATATAATAATAATAATAATAATAATAATATATATTTCCCAATGTCCCTCTGGATTATGACTTTACATTGTATTTGTATGAGCTGATAAATACATGATAACATTTTGGCAGATTCCCTATGGAATAGTAAACAGTAGTGCATTATAACCTCACATAATAACAGCATTTTAGCTTCCAAACCTGGGCATGGCATCAGAGAAAATTGGTCCCTGTGTGAATGTTGATTAAGATTATGTTGTTCTTTATTTAACTTTATAAAAATGGACAAATTGCTATTATTTGCTGAAGTAATAACAAAAAGTTATTAGTATTGTCCTCACATGCTTTGTTAGATATAAATACCCTCATGAATATTCTATTGGATTTATATATATATAGATTTGAAAATGGAAATGTGACCCTTGTTTATCCTGTATTGTAAATACAATTGGTCAAAACGCAGGCACACAAACACGCACACGCACACGCACATGCATACACATACATACCAGGGCAATATCATTCAGTCCCTAGGGCAAGATATCTGTCTATGCCCTAAAGCCATGTCACCACAGCTGTCAGAAAGTACAGCCATGCAGGTCATGACCCATGCGTCAGCATCAGAGATTGTGGTTAGTGGTGGGCAGTATTGAACTGTCTGCGATGGAAGAGGTAAATGCTAATGCACCCAACGGCCTCTAAAATGGAAAAGCTAATTAACCCATGAGGATGTTTACTTTATATCTATATGGTTTACATAGCAGCCAGTTAAGGCAAGGCAAGGCAAGGCAAGTTTATTTATATTGCACGTTTCAGCAACTAGGCAATTCAAAGTGCTTCACATAAGACATCAAAAACATTAAAATAGAAAATGTAAAAATCAGTTAAACAAAGAAATCATGATTACAGAGAATATTAAATCTGAAAATATGTTAAAATAAATAGTTCATTTAAATTAAATTAAAGAGAAAAAGCAGTTCAAATTTAAGCTAAAATATAAAACAAAGCAAAAAAGTTAAAGTGCAGAGTTATAGTTTAAAATCTTATCAAAATAAATGTTAATAAATGTTAATCAAAATAAATTGTTTAATGAAAGGCAGTCAACCTCGAAAAGAACTGAGTGTTTCAGCAGACCTGCAGTTTTCTGGGAGTTTGTTCCAGATATAAGGAGCATAGAAATTGAAAGCTGCTTCTTCGTGTTTGGTTCTGATTCTGAGACAAAGACCAGACCTGTCCCAGATGATCTGAGCGAGCTGAATGGTTAGTAGCTACTCAGACAGTCACTAATGTATTTTGAGCCTAAACCATTCAGTGCTTTATAAACCAGCAGCAGTCATTTAAAATCTATTCTCTGACAGACTGGGAGACAGTGTAAAGACCAAGAACTGGAGTGATGTCATCCATTTTCTTGGTCTTGGTGAGGACTCTAGCAGCAGCGTTCTGGATCAGTTGTCTGACTGAGTAATCAAATCGACTGAAAAGCATGGACAAGTTTTTCCAGGGCCGACTGGGCCATAAGTCTTCTAATATTTAATGTTGGCATGTTAACATTTAGTTCAGTCACATTTCTGCTTAAAAAATAATTAAATAATATTTCCATCTTTCATTGCACATACTTCTCTGCAGTTAAAGCAGGCACACTGTTTTACTCTCTGCCACGCAGACACACACACACACACACACACACACACACACACACACACTTGCACAAACACACACGCACGCATGCATGCATGCACATACACAAACACAGAGAGATAACTGTCAGGTTAAATCCACCTGGTTCAATAGTCACAGTGCAAATTTGGGCCAAATTGGCACATCCACATATCATGGATGCACCTGGGCTCCATAAACTGACCTACCTCTAGAATCCTGTTAATCTGTGTGTGTTTGTAACTGTGAGAAAATACATCTAGACAGTCACTTTACTACTCTACTTTTACACATTTGATATGGCCTTCATGCTGGAAATTGATTCTTTACAGAAATATTACAAGAGCTGAAATCTTTGTCAAAATGATGTGTATTATATTTTTTTTTTTAAAAACCCACAATCCATTCTGTTCAGTTCTGTAATCAAAAAGATTGGATACATTTTAGGCAATGACAGTGTTGGCATGGAAACGTTCAGTTTACTGACATTTCTGCTTAAAAAATAATTCAATAATGATTACATCTCTTATTGGACCTACTTTTCTGAAGGCATGGTGGCATGTGTGAGCCTGGCTGTGATGATATGTTGTGTCACCTTTAGATAAGAGATGGGGGAGGTATAGTCTTCTATAATGGCATCATTGAGCACACAGATGTCCAGTTCCACTATCATTCCAGTTTTGCAACCCACACATATGCTGTCACAGCCCCACTCGGTTAGCATCAAGCTGTGGGAGCAGAATGATCTACTGTAAGCACTATTGGATATGAGAAGAATTCTGGCATTTGGACCAAAGTGATG